TATAATTTTATAATTTTATTTTATTTTTTTATTAATTTATTATAATTTAGTTAAATAATGTATTTTATATATCACTATGTATAAATAATTTATAAACCAAGGAGTTAATGAAAAAATAAATAATTAATTAAATAAAAAGACTACAGACAAATTTAATTTAGCTTAATTAATTCGATATTTACACCATTATAATACTGCAGCCTAGAAATATTTAGGAGACAGAAGTAATATAGATCTAATAAATTTAGTTTAAAAACAAAAATTCAAAATTTAAATTAGGTTAGGTTGCATATTGAGTCGTCTTGTCACTAAATTATAGATTATTTTTCTTTTCTGTTCTTTTTTGATGTTTTGAAATAAATTAAGAAACTTAAAATTAATAGCTTAAGCACTGGCAACAGTTTCTGAGGGGGCATTTGAAACTGCACTATTAGATTCTGAATCGCTGATTATGGGGGTGGTGACAGGGGCAGCGGTTTCAGTGGATTCCACAGTTTTGGCAGGACCTTGATAAACAGCTGTTGCTTCTATGACAATAGTGGGCAAATCGTTGTTGTTGTTATTATTGTTAACATCGGTCTTGTTATCTGTGGCTGGAGTTGGGGTATCAACTGTATTAGCTGGAACTTCCAATGTTGTAGCCTTTGTCTCTACTTCAAGGGGTTTAGTTTTCTCTTTAACTTCTGTTGGCTGTGGTGTGGCTACTGCTTCCGTTGGCGCTGTTACTTCTTCCACTGGTTTGTTTTGGTTTTCTTGGACTTTATTTTCCACAACTTCGGTTTTTGCAGCCTCAGCTGTACCCTCACTTACTTGTATTTTGGGTGTTTCTGCGGCAGCTGGTGCCTCGGCTGCTTTAGGTTTAACCTCACGTGCTGGTGTTCCTGCCTTAGACGATTGTGGTGAAGGTGTCCGTGACACTGAACTTCTTGGTGAAGGCACATCTAAACCATGAGCTTTCTTATCCAATAGTACTGAAGTTGCCTGTGGTGCTGGACTGCCACATCTTTTAATACTCTCAATTTTACTCTCCATATCACGGCGAATTTCATGTATGGGCTTGAGTAAGAAAATGGGCACATCATCGTCACGTCTTTGGAATAACATTTCACCTTCGAATTCCACCAGTTTGTGTTTACGAGCTCTCAAGAGAATGCCCACCACTTTGTCGGAAATGTAATTGTAAATCTATAGAGGAGAGGAGGGAAGAGGTTAAGAATAAGTAAGAAATAGAAACAAAAAGAAAAACGATGAAAAGTGTCTCCTTAGAAGATACTTTTTTTATGGAAAAGTGACACCTTAAAAGAGACTTTTTCTTTAGAAAAAGTATCTCTTTAAAAGAGAGAAAAAGTGTATTCTTAAAAGATACTTATTCTATATAAAAAGTGTCTCCTTGAAAGAGACTTTTTCTATATAAAAAGTGTCTCCTTAAAAGAGACTCTTTCTATAGAAAAAGTGTCTCCTTAAAAGAGACTTCTATAGAAAAAGTGTCTCCTTAAAAGACTTTTTCTATAGGAAAAGTGTCTCCTTAAAAGAGACTTTTTATATAGAAAAAGTATCTTCTTAAAAGAGACTTTTTCTATATAAAAAGTGTCTTCTTAAAAGATACTTTTTCCATATAAAAAGTGTCTCCTTAAAAGAGACTTCTTCTATAGAGAAAGTGTCTCCTTAAAAGAGATTTTTCTATAGAAAAAGTGTCTCCTTAAAAGAGACTTTTTCTATATAAAAAATGTCTGCATTTGGAGACTATTTCTATAGTAAGAAGTCTTTTTAAGCAATAGTTTATAAAAAAACTTACATTAAATAACTCTCCAAATGGTATAACACGCATAGAGGGTTCATCTTTAACATCATAACCCTCTGAGTCTATAATTTGACATAATTCCAACATTTCCTTTAGGACATGTATATTGGCTTTCTGACCTCGCATTTCTGTCAAACTACCAGCCAAAGGTCTGAAAGTAATTTTGAGAGAGAAATATGTGTTAAAATTTTCCAACGAATTGGAGACTTTTCTTTAAAAACTACTACTTACTTGCCATATTCATCTTTGGAAAATGTGGGCTTGGGTGATGATCTGCCATCCGGATTGGAAAATGGATTTAATAGTTGTGATTGTTTGTGTTGATTGACATGTTGATTAAACATGGCGACTTTTGAAGATAGAGGAGAGTCCTGTAAAGAGATAATAAGTTAAGAGTTCGAGGTTAGTTTGATGTATTGTCAAGGAGATTTACAGGATTCATCTTTTTTGATACAAAGAATTTTGAAAAAGAATTGAATGAAGAAATTTATAGGAAGAAATTTGAACAATTTTTTTTAAGGAATTTTTTTTTGCTAATTTTTAAAAAGAAAGTTTCACAAACACAATTTATGCGGTGTGGCGTTACAAGATTTAACGTATTTGAACGAATCGGAATATAAAGTGGAATTTAATCCTTTTTGAAGATTTTCCAATATTCACCGTGTTGTCCGAGTTTGTTATTCAAATTTTTTCTTAATGTGAACCAAAAATGAAGCAACGGTTTCTTTGTAGAAATGTCTAATGCGCAGCAGCTGGCAGTTCTTTATTTATCAAAATCAAAAAAGCAATTAGTTACAATTATATATAGAATGAAGAAGACAATGCAAGAAACCCCAAAACAGAAAATATTCAAATACATATAGCGCCTATTTAAGTTCACAAAAATTTTTGAGGTTGATGCCTTCGCACAGTCATCATTCCCAAATTATATATGGAAATGGTACTATCTTACACCCAAAAAGTACTTTTTAGACTAGACTAGACTAAGGAATAGACTAGACTATAGACAGACTACAGACTAGACTATAGACTAGACTAAAGACTAGACTATAGGCTAGACTAAAGACTAGACTATAGACTAAACTATAGACTAGACTATATAGAATGAACTATACTAGACTATAGACTAAACTATAGACTAGACTATAGACTAGACCATAGACTAGACCATAGACTAAACTATAGACTAGACTATAGCCTAGACCATAGTTTAGACTATAGACTAAACTATAGACCAGACTATGGACTTGACTATAGACAAGACTATAGACTAGACTATGGACTAGACTATAGACTAGACTATAGAATAGACTTTAGACTAGACCATAGAATAGACTATAGACTAGAATATAGACTTGACTATAGACTAGACTATAGACTAGACTAGACTATAGACTAGACTATGGACTAGACTATAGACTAGACTATAGACTAGACTATAGACTAGACTAGACTATAGACTGGACTATAGACTAGACTATAGACTAGACTATAGACTAGACTATAGACTAGACTATAGACTATACTATAGACTAGACTATAGACTAGACTATAGACTAGACTATAGACTAGACTATAGACTAGACTATACTATAGACTAGACTATAGACTAGACTATACTATAGACTAGACTATAGACTAGACTATAGACTAGACTATAGACTAGGCTATAGACTATACTATAGACTAGACTATAGACTAGACTATAGACTAGACTATAGACTAGACTATAGACTAGATTATAGACTAGACTATAGACTAGACTATAGACTAGATTATAGACTAGACTATAGACTAGACTATAGACTAGACTATAGACTAGACTATAGACTAGATTATAGACTAGACTATAGACTAGACTATAGACTAGACTAGACTATAGACTAAACTATAGACTAGACTATAGACTAGACTATAGACTAGACTATAGACTAGACTATAGACTAGACTATAGACTAGACTATAGACTAGACTATAGACTAGACTATAGACTAGACTATAGACTAGACTATAGACTAGACTATAGACTAGACTATAGACTAGACTATAGACTAGACTATAGACTAGACTATAGACTAGACTATAGACTAGACTATACTATAGACTAGACTAGACTAGACTATAGACTAGACTATAGACTAGACTATAGACTAGACTATAGACTAGACTATAGACTAGACTATAGACTAGACTATAGACTAGACTATAGACTAGACTATAGACTAGACTATAGACTAGACTATAGACTAGACTATAGACTAGACTATAGACTAGACTATAGACTAGACTATAGACTAGACTATAGACTAGACTATAGACTAGACTATAGACTAGACTATAGGCTAGACTTAGGCTATAGTCTAGTAAATGTGGTCTACTCAATAGACCATATGTAGACTAAAATATAGGCATGATTATAGTCTGGACTATATAAGAGACTATAGACAAGATTATAGTGTATGATTTCCAAATGATTATTATATACTTTTTCACTAACAAACCGATTCATATCAGAGCTTTAACTTTTTCTGATTTGAGATACATATTTGTGACAAAAAACACATGCTTAAAGTAGAAAGCTAAGCGTACAACTGATAAATTGCAGCCGCTTGCTATAAAGAGTTGAAAATCAGGGCATATACACTGCTACGGCTTTCTGTAGGCAATGAGGGCGTACAATAAAAATGTATTTTATTTTCATATCGATTTTTCTAAAGCCCTTTTTGATGCCCTTCAGACGGCACTATTGTGTATTCATTGGGGAAGAAAAGTAAATAAAAATCGTTTCTATGTCATTAGAAGTCATGTGTAACTCAATGAGAATGATAACTGGTTCCGGTTGAGGTTAATATCCAGACAGCTAAGAGAGCTCTTTTCCTCAGGTGAGTTTCATTCAAAATTTTATATAAAATAACAAAGTCCGTTCTATTAATAAAAAATTATACTATTTTTAAAAACTTTGAATTTTCTTGGACTTTGTTATATATGGAAACACCCACAAAAATGTTTATATATATTTCATTTTGCAACAGATGACTCAGTTCAATTTTCTGCATAATCACCGATAAAATTTTGAATTTCAAATAAAAATGCATAAATCCTTTACTTTTTCTATTAATAAAAGCAAAAGATATTATTTGGTCGAAACGAAAAAAAGAATATAATAGAAACCCAACAGCAAACACCCACAAGTGTTTGAAATACTTTTTCGTCTATATAGAAAATTCAAATATTGTCGCTGTCTTGTCTTTTTTGGCAGCGTCATGTAAGAAATATTTTAATTAAAACAAAAATTTTATGCCACCAGTATAAAATAAGAAGTAGATGTAAAGGGAAGGTTAGCCAACTGAGAAATATCAAAAAGTGCCTCCTTTAAAGGGACTTTTCTATAGAAAAGTGCCTCCTGTAAAGATACTTTTTCGATAAAAAAAAGTGTGTCCTTTAAAGATACTGTTTCTTTAGAAAACATGTCACCTTTAAAGAGACTTTCTCTATAGAAAAGGTGTCTCCTTTAAAGCGATTTTTTTTTATAGAAAAAGTGTCTCTTTTAAAGAGACTTTTTCTTTAGAAAATATGTCTCATTTAAAGAGGCTTCTTTTATAGAAAAAATGTGTTCTTTAAAAAGTCTTTTCCATAGAAAAAGTGTCTTCTTTAAACAGACTTTTTCTACAGAAAAAGTGCCTTCTGTAAACAAACTTTTTCTATAGAAAAACTGACTAAAGATTAGACTGTAGACTAGACTTTAGACTTGACTATAGACTAAACTATACTATAGACTATAGACTATACTATAGTCTAAACTATAGACTAGATTATAGACTAGTCTATAGACTGGACTATCGACTAGACTATAGACTAGACTATATACTAGACTATAGACTAGACTATAGACTAGACTATAGACTAGACTAAAGACTAGACCAAAGACTAGACTAAAGACTAAAGACTAGACTATAGACTAGACTAGACTATAGACTATAGACTAGACTAGACTAGACTATAGACTAGACTATAGACTAGACTATAGACTAGACTATAGACTAGACTATAGACTAGACTATAGACTAGACTATAGACTAGACTATAGACTAGACTATAGACTAGACTATAGACTAGACTATAGACTAGACTACAGACTAGACTATAGACTAGACTATAGACTAGACTATAGACTAGACTATAGACTGGACTATAGACTAGACTATAGACTAGTCTATAGACTAGACTATAGACTAGACTAGACTAGACTATAGACTAGACTATAGACTAGACTATAGACTAGACTATAGACTAGACTATAGACTAGACTATAGACTAGACTAGACTAGACTATAGACTAGACTATAGACTAGACTAGACTATAGACTAGACTATAGTCTAGACTATAGACTAGACTAGACTATAGACTAGACTAGACTATAGACTAGACTAGACTATAGACTAGACTATAGACTACTATAGACTAGACTATAGACTAGACTATAGACTAGACTATAGACTAGACTATAGACTAGACTATAGACTAGACTATAGACTAGACTATAGATTAGACTATAGACTAGACTAGACTAGACTATAGACTAGACTATAGACTAGACTATACGCTAGACTATACACTAGACTATACACTAGACTATACACTAGACTATACACTAGACTATACACTAGACTATACACTATACTATACACTATACTATACACTAGACTATACACTACACTATATACTGGCCTATAAACTAGACTATAGACTACTCAATAGACTAAACTATAGACTAGACTGTAGACTAGGGCTCCTTTAAACTGACTTCTTCTATAGAAAAAGCGTCGCCTTGGTAGAGACTTATTTTACAGACAATGTGTCTGCTTGGAAGAGACTTGTTCTACAAAAAAGGTTCTTGGATGAGAAAATTATTCGATCTTATATTCAATAAGATCGCTTAGCACCATTTCCCCCATTTATTTAACAATTGCGTTCATTCATCTACTTACTAAGTAGTACGAGTGCAAAAAAATTCTCATTTCTTTAGCTTCGTCTTTACAACATTACATTGCATATATGTATAAACATATTAAAATATGCTAAGCATGAGGCACATTATCTGAAGGTCATTTTCAGTCAAGATCATTAACAAGAAACAACAAGTCAGGAAGACTGCATAAAAAGTTTATAATAGATTTTCCGTCAATAATTTGTTTTTGTTTTTTTTATTTTAATTTATCATAATTTTTTTCTGTTATTTTGTACTTATTTCAAAATTTATGATAAAACATCTGCTGTGTGTCTTCGTCTTAGAAGAATATACATATTTTTGTTAATGTAGAGAAGAATGTGACAAACAAATAAGATGTATTAGTTTTTAAATGTTGTAGG